TCATCTCATCTCATCTCATCTCATCTCATCTCATCTCATCTCATCTCATCTCATCTCTTCTTTTCTCATCGCAGTGTAAACAATATTTCTCTTTTCATTTTCTCTTAAATATTTTTCAACATCTTTTTTTTTATTACTCATATCACCATTATGCTTCAGCGTCTCATATCATCCTATTTTTATCTTTTTTTCTGTCTTTTGGGCATTTTTTCTTTCATTCATACTAATTGCTCTTTTTCCTGTATTTTACCACCGTTCTCATTGCGATTCGGACACGATGACATAATGTTGTGTATGCTGGTTGAGGCAATTTCCTCCTGATTCGCCTTCGTAATGTGGATGCTTGTCGAGCATATTTCGCAGTCTCGTTAGAATTATGTCCCGCCTACCCGTCTGCCATATTGTCGTCTCATCTTCGCCTCGCCGGACATCAACACTTCGATTAATGCCTCGATTGCCATTGGGCGAAGCATCTGCCTGACGACTGGGTGAATATTTATAATCGCTTTCTCCATCTCCTCTCCTCCCTGCAGCAACGTCTCGGTAGAACCTGTGATCAGTCCTTCTTTTCTCAACTTGCAGATCGGCTGGCTCGTTTGGCTTCCGAATGGTCGTTGAGACAGTTTCTGGTGAACCGATGTGACCCGGGGCCGGATCACTTTTAACCGACGCTGCTCGGCCCGGTCTCCGGAAGCCTGTTTCTCCTCTCTTTCGCTTTTCCAATCCCACTTCTTCGTCTTCTTCGCCTCCTCACTCTCCACTTCAGCCTTACGATAGTTGTCTTTCTCTGTCAACTTGTTGAGTATCGCCTTCTCTCTGGCCTGCACCAAATTTACTATCGTCAGGAGGCATTTGAGCATTTCGATGGGCAAGAGCCTGAATCGGACACCTTCCTCGAGCAGAGATTCACAGTCCTTTTGCAGACTAACGAATAACGTTGTGTTGTGATGGGCAAGGCAGAGGCCCGAATTCGACTGTTCTTTCCCACCTTCTGTCTCGTTCCCGCCGCCTCTGTCTACGATGTGGCATTTTTCGACACTCCCTCCAAATTTACAGTCATGCCGGTCTGTACTTGTTGTCTGCATCAACATCGAATTGTTGGAGATCATTTCAATGGGAGACACGTCTTGCAATTCAGGATTGGCGAGAGCAGCCACTCTTTGCTTGGCGATAGCACAAAACTTCTCGAAAGACATCTTCAGCCAAGGCTGATTGAAGTGAGGCTGGCTCGGATCAGGCTCATCCAGACCCATCTGACAGGAGACCAGGCGACAATGGTACCAGCGTGAGACGAAACTGAGCACTTCGAACTCACTTTTCTCGGCCAGGAGTTGGTTTGACGCGAGAATTTGTTGGAGGACCTTGGCCGGAAACGCCAGCAGGACTGGACTATGCTGTAAGGTGCTTAAAAATAAAGGTAGATAAGGTAAATGCAATTTAGGGTGTTGTCAGGGTTTACTATCATCATTAGTCAATTCGTCATAGTGCACCAACGAAGAGCCCAAGATGGGCCGGGCTCGAGCCCCAACACTGGCGGTCAAATGGCTCGAATGTATTTGCGCAGAGAATTTGGGTTTCGTGGAATCTCTTGGTTCATAATTGATGAGATTGCTTTCATTTCGAGTGAAAACGTTTGGTGGAGAGATTCGAAAGGCAATCTTCTACGACCAGATAGAAACGTGTTAAACTTTCGTCCATTATATATATATATATATATTTATATTTATATATATATTGGGCGAAGCATCGGCCTGACGACTGGGTGAAGATTCATAATCGCTTTCTCCAACTCCTCTCCCCTTTCTAGCATCGTCTCGGCTGAACGACTGCTCAGTTTTCCTTGTCTCGAGTTGCCAATCGGCTGGCTCGTTCGGAGGCCGAATGGTCGTTGAGGCAAGCTCTTCACTTCCAACTCTCTCAAATTCATAGGCGATTTTATAAGTAAATGTCCATCTACTAAATAATTCTGTCTTCTAATTAACTTCCTTAAGATGATCTAAGGATTGAAATGATACATGTGAAGTTAACCTATATATATATATATAGAGAGAGAGAGAGAGAGAAAGGGAGGGTGATGATCTTATTACTTTGAGCCATCACTGCTGATTTCCTAACTATACGAACACATGAAGGCACATAAACACTTGCACACAGAGACACATTGACATGCTTGAGGTTAATATATAACTTGAAGTAACCAAACCATGCTATGCCTCATCAAATAGTTCAGATATGAGTTATATAAATAGCATTTAGGGATTAAGGATATTAGTTTTCTGGACCGTTTGGCTTAAATATGGTCGTGAAAATACTACCCTTATCTGATGATATTCATCATATGACGGACGAAAGCTTTGCAAGTCTTCACCAGATTCGAAGATTACCTTTTTAACGTTGCCAACAAGAATGTTCCAATGAAGCCAATCGACAGCTGGTCATGAAGAATCCGCTGTCATCTTCTAGCGGAATCGACCTTCGAATATCTTCCCCTCAACATTTACTCGAAATGGAAGTAAGTTGATGTATATTTGCTAGATTCATCCTCATTTGTTTGAAGGTGATGAAGATCTAGTAGTTGATTTTTCCCACACTGATATGAGAAGACCTCGTGTTTCTATTGAATTTCAAAAAGAATAGCATTCCAAGGCTATGGGAAATTCTATGGAAACATGAGGCTTACTCACATAATTGTGGGCAAATTCAACTACCAGTCATTCTTCACCTTAAAACAATAGGCCTGACTACAGCTCTTATTTCGTATGAAAGTGAATGAAGAATAGATTCGTCGGTCGATCTCACCAGATGAGGACGGATGAATCTCGTTGTACTGCAACTTTTTGGCTTTCATACAATATTCATGTTGACGCAGTCCACGAGACTTCCTCCCTCATTTCGGGTGAAAACGTGCTGTGCTTTAATCCATCACATGATGGACTGCGTCAACATGAATATCGTATAGAAGCCAAACGGCTGCAGTACAACGCGATTCATGTGTCCTCTTCTGGAGAGATTGACCTATGAATCTCTTCTTCGTGCACTTTTATACAAAATGAAAGTCCCTCCAACCAAACAACTTCTATACAGCGAAAGGAGACTGCGATTATACAAAAGACCACATTATCTTGGTCGTCATACCTTCAATTAGCCAGATTGTTCATAAATTAGAAGCTGTTTGTATTCGGTTAAAATGAGGACTTCTCTTCAAACAAGGCTCTACTAAAGGGAAAATTTTGAGTATGAGATGTATTCACACTATTTCATTTAAGGTGATGAAAGGCTAGTATCTGAATCTTCCCACAATCACAAGAGTATGCCTGACATTTTTAGTGAATTAAACATGGCCTTAGAAGTGGGTTGACCTCGTTGTCGCCACTTGATCTTGTTGTCAGGGCGACATAGTAGAACACATCTAGTCCGAAGTTGTCTGCCATAGTAGTTGTCATGATTTCCAGCATCAGACAATGGACTTGGTACATTCGCAAACGTTTCGCCGGCATCGTAGTCGGCCTCATCAGTGAGTGCTCCCATTCTCCGCACCAAGCGGGAGTTGGATAAGAGGGTAAAGAGTAGATAGATAGACAATGACAGAAAGAGTAGTGATAGTGTAACCGTTTTCGGTAGAACGGTTGTCGAGGGATTGACTTCACTTGTCTCTTTGACGAGTTCGTTGCTTGGTGCGGAGAATGGCAAAACTCACTGATGATGCCGACCTCGATGCCGGCGAAACGTTTGAGAATGTACCAATCCGACTGTCTGATGCTGGGAATCATGACAACTACTCTGCCAGACGACTTCGGACTAAGTGTGTTCTAATAAGTCGCCCTGACAACAAGACCAAGTTGCGACAACGAAGTCAAGCCACTTCTATATATCGAAAGTAGACTGCGACCATACCATAGGTCACAACATCTTAGTCTTCATATCTTCAATTAGACATAGCCTTGCTTCCCAAAAGGTGACCTTATCCTAGCTGGAGTGGGCTGCAGCTTCGAGCTCGCCTAAATCTAAACAACACCTCCAGCGGGACTTGAACCCTGATAGTTCATCGTACGACCTTTATCACTACAACACACTGCCACGATTACCCTTAGGTTTCAAGGAAAATGTAAATTTCAAGAAAGTCTAGGTCACTTCGCATATCACATTCTGTGTTGGGAATGTGGATGAAGCAAAGTTATATTTGCTATAGCACTCGATTACATTATTTAGTTTCGTCAATAAGTAGGTTTCCGATATTGATAAATGACAAATAAGTCGATTGCTATAGCAAATTCAACACTGCTTCATCGATACTCGCACCACTGAAAGTGATATGGAAAAAGGTTGGCCTTCCTGCCCTGTGATCCAAGGTCAGTCGTGGTCGTGTAGCATATGGCTGAACTTGTCAAGACTATACGTTGCCACACCCGGGTTCGAATCCCGCTGTGGGTTTTAAGAAAACCTAGGCGAGGTCGAAACTGCAGTGCTCTTTAGTCGGGATGAGATCATGTTTAGGGAAGCAATAAGAAAATTCAACTACCCTTCCTTCATCACCTGTAAATACACATAATATATATGAGCTATTGGTAGACTCGAAAACCAACTTATAAATTAACAATGTGCAAATGTTGATTGCATCTAAGACAAACCCTTTTGTCGGGGCCTTAACGCCGGTATGCAACAACTGAGTTGACGTGAAGAAAATTTGATTCTTGAGCAATATTTTGGCTTATAATTGTTGCTCTTACGTCCATTTCGAGTGAAAGTGCTTTATCAAGACATTCGAAAGTCGATCGCCCTAATCGAAGAAGATTGCCTCGGAACTAGGCTCAACAAGAATGTTCCAGTAAAGCCAATCGACAGCTGGTCAAAATGAATCAACCGTCGTCTTATGGTTGGATGGACATTCGAAACCCTTCACCGAAAACTTTCACTAGAAATGGAAATGAGCTCATAAATATACTTTAAAGGTCACTAAGAGGCCTTAGTTTGCTAGAATATCTCCTCACTCCGTTATAACTCCGAGGTTTCATCTTGTTAATTCATTTCGTCTCGTGCAGCTAAACACACTTCACACTGACCCTCAGTTAGGAGTAATTATTTGTGATTACAGTTTGTGCTGATAAACGGTTTTATTTTCCGAGAAAATATACTTTTCCTTACAGTTTGCTCCAATATTGTATATGTTTGTAGAACGCAAAAATAAACTCTCACTTCCCATATGCATACAATGAGCTCAACGAATAAGGACTCACTTTACTTTTTCACAGTTGATCATCATTTAGAGTGCTACATCACAACAGATCCTATCATTCGCATAGTCAGTGGCTTATATGCGCCTACCCTTCACGGCCCATCAAGTCAAATCAAAGAGCCGACTACATTGCGTCGGGTGGTATGATGGCTGATATGCCCACGATGATTTTAAAAAGAATCTCATTCATTCGCTA